GCCCCAGACCTGTCTGCTCCATATATGTGCCAGTCAAAGCTCATCTAGATGTGCGTCTTGCTGCTTCTTTGGTGTGCCCTCAGCAGCTAGTCCAATATAACCCTTTTTGAGCACCACCAACGTGCTCCGCAAGTATCCTCTGCGCTGGTAATGTCTGACTTCTTAAATGGTTAGAAGGATGAATTATGGAAATGGGAGTGGGTAAGGAGGAGAAGAAAAGATGCGCGTTCGCTTGGGACGTTGCCTTGAGGTAGTCAGAGCAGAACATTAAAGTTTAACAGGTAAAGATCTTCAACTTCATAGGTTCATTTTCAGAATCTGGAATAACTGTTCTGCTAACGAGTAACGTTTAACGCTGCTGTTCCACTTGAAGGTGCAATATTGCTGAAGCTTTGCTTGTCTGCCGCATTTTAATCCGTGCCTGGTTGTCATCTGCCTGGGGAGCTTTATGGAAAATGTTAGTTGTCTGGGCTGTAAGCTTACAGATTAAAATTTTCCTGGGGGCTTTTTACTTCGAGTACGGTTATCACCCAAAGACTTTTAAACTTTTTGTAATGCTTAAACTTCCCTGCATGCGATTTTCAGTATCCGCGTAGTCTTGCTCAAGAGGCCCTTTTGGTGGAATTAGGGCTGCTAATGGCTTTGGAGGCTTACTCTGCCTTGAAAGTTTGTTTTCTCCTGAAATTACTATGTCTGCTGCTGTCAAGGAAAGACCGCTTTTATCACATTGACTTTGTGATCATAAATTCAGTGAGTTGTGATCTGAAACTTTGCATGTGATCAATGATTTATTGCCAGTTTAACTTCTGATGCTGTGTTTGGTTGTGCTGTGTGTAAGCTTCTGAGTTACAAGAAAATATTTAGCAATCAGTGCAATCCTACTTGAAAATTAAACCGATTTGCTTACGTTTCGTAGGGCGATTCTAAGAGGCCAACGTGAATTCTTGAATCCAAGACTTTGGTTTTCTCTAAGCCACCTCTCCTGTTAGTTGTGTTTTTCTCTCAGGTGTTCCAAAAAGGGATCTGTGGCGATGTTTGCAGAGTCAAAATGGAAAAGAAAATCTTGGGTTTGTAGATGAATCAGCCCTTATTTTGTTAATGTGTTACTTGGATTTCGGTTTCTCTGCCGGTGACGTTTGTCGGTTGGGTGGTCTTTGAAATAGAGGGATTAGAGAGAATAAGTGTTAGCGAGCAGATCAAATATCTCAGTGGTAACATTTGGGTTTATGCAAATGGAAGAGAAGCAGACCCGAAATTATGCTGCGCTCATAGGACAGGCTAAAAATAAGGCCTTATTCATGCGTTGAGCTCTCTGAAGATCCAAATGCATGCATTGCTTGAAGTTCAAGAGAGACACTTACATTTTTATTTAACGTCGGTTTATACTGAATTCCTTTTTCTGTGCACACGCGTTTCGTCGCCTTCGTAGCAGTCTAGCAAAGTAGTCATCCTCGTCACAGAGAAGGAGAACAACATCAAATACTGTTAGCAGGTGGTCCAGTGGGGAAGGCGCCAGTAACCAATGCTTCCTAAAAGTAGATCATTTCTCTCTCCCTGATGGGCCACATTCCGTTTATAAAACACACATCAGTACTTTTTATGAGCACATAATTTACTTTTTCGTCTTTTTTCCCCTAACTATGCGTGATTTAACATCAAAAGAAGCAAAAACCCTAGATGGTCATTCAAAAAAGAAATGTTACTTGTTTGTTAAAATCCATTTTTTATTATTTTTTTAAAAAAAAACTGCATTGACTGAAGAAGTCCCAATCTAACAGCAGTAAGGATTTCAGTTGCAAGTCAAGGTAGAGAAGAATTCATGATGGAAATTGCTGCCCAAAAGCTTGGGAGGGTTACAAACATATTTTTATCATTTTAAAATACTAACTCAGTCTGGTTTGGATGCCTATATTCCTTTAATTCAGAGAAGTACAGGACACTTTTCCCTGTATTTCAGTTAGCAAAATGAAGAAGGTTGTGGAAAAAACCCCCCCGAGAAATGGGTCAGTAGGACTCCGTGCTGGTCAAGGAGCACGCTCTAGTGGCAGCTTAATCCGGCGTGGCCTCCTCGGGTACCCTGGCTTCCACCTTGGCCGATGTTAATCAACTGCTGCATGAAAGAGAGGGACCTTTTCACAAAATCTTTTCAAATTTACCATCTCTCTTGCTGTCCTGTGCCAAAACAAGTGCAGTGTTTCTACGCCATCACATGGATTGGTGGTAGCTCTGTAATTAATTTCGAAATGGGGAAGTAACCTATGTTTTTGTCTATGGTTTTTAAATGCATCGATATTTTCAGCCGCAGAGGGAAAGATTTCTTGCTCGTGATGCACAAATTCTTATGGGTAACAGATAAAGTTGCTAGGCTTGCTGGTTAGCATGGTGTAAAATGTTGGGTTCTCCAAATCATCCAGATTTTTGCGGTGTTTTCTGTTCCTGTCCTCTCCCTGAGCCTGCTAAATCTCTTTAGCCCTTCCCCTCCTGCTCAGCGTTTTATTTTGTCTTTAATGAGGCTGTAGGTTTGCAATTTGATTCTCTGAAATATATGTAGATAGGAGTCTTGTAAGAAAGAAAAATAAAAGGCAAAGCAGGTGACTGTGAAGCCTTCTACAGCGTTACCGCAGAATGAAAGTTTGAAGAGTGGATATAGAAAGGGAAATTCTACCCGGTGGTTACAGGTGAGCACCCCGTGATGTGCTTCGCTTCATCGCAGCGCTTGGTAGGAATATAATTAAATGTGAGGTTTTTAGCCTACGTGCTACAAATTCCGTTCACGTCACTAATTTATATTTAAAAAAAAAAAAAGTGAACGTGTTCTCTCTGTGTAACGTGTAAGCCTTTGCAGCACGTGCAATAAATTTTACTCTTATTTATTAATTTGAAACAGGCTAAAAGTGTTTCTAGGGTAAATAGAATTTAGGGGATTCTCTGCTGGTCACGTTACGTGATGCAAGAGCCTGCGGAAGGAGCTGGCTGTTAGGATCCATCTGAAGAATTCCTTTTGCTGCTTAGACATTCTGGAAAGCCCCGTCCAGTCGGGCCCCGCGTTGAATTCTTGCTGTGCGCCTCTCGGTCCTCACCTCCGCTCTGCGGGGAGCTGGGGAGGGGAAGGGATTCCTCCCAAAGCCGCTCTCCTGTAGGGCCCCTGGGTCCTTCCTCCCGTTTGGCGTCATGTTGGGGGTAGGAGCAATTATTTACCTGGAACGGCGTTTACTCCGGATGGATGAAAAGTACTGAATGTAAACGTAAAATACACAGGGTTCAAAGCACGTAAATGTTGAACCTTACTGCTCCCTGGCGGGATCAGCATTCCCTTTTAACGACCTTTTGCACTATCATTCATCTTGGAGTTAAAATTTTCTAAGTGTTTTAAACTCTGCTTCTGATTTTTTTTTTTTTTTTTAAATTAAACTTTAGCAGTGCGGTTGATATCTACAGTTAGGTTTGCAGAAATGATCAAGGCAGTACATAATCCTAGCAGATAATTAAAATGACATTAATATAGGGTCTCAGGACCTTTTCACTTCTCTCATGAGCTTCTGTCAGTAAGTGTTGTTACAGAGGAGGACCAGGATGCTTCCCAAGTCCCGGCTGGTGGTACTGGAGTGTTTTCCTTAAAAACGTAGTAATGAATAAACTGACTTTTATTATCAGGAGGCTGGTGATCTCCAAGCGATGCGATGTAGAGTTTACTTCTCACACCTCTAGGTCATAGTATTTCTATCTGCTCCTTCTGAAAAGGAGAACCCTTAAAATGTTAATACTAATTTAACCGAACACTGCCAGGTCCCCACTTTGCCCAACGTCCACCAGCTGCTGGGAATTTAAACACGGAAAATGAATGCTGACCAAAATATTCTGCAGTTCCTCAATCAAAACAAGGGGAAAAAAATTTTTTTTGAGTTGTATTCAGCTTAGTAACAGACTAAATAGCGGAGGGTTTCTTCGAGGCCAATGATTATTTTTAAGATGATGGAAAGTCTTAAATGCTACATGCTGTTTAAGGCATGTGTTGCCGTCCTTGGTTTTAGTCCTTGTTTTAAGGAGGTCCTTGGGAAGTTTCAGTGTTATTTGTAACGTATTTTGTGAGTCTTTGTGGCTGGACTTTCATATTTAGAAAATCGTTTGCAGTCTTCCTGATCCTCTTCCATTTGGGGCAGGGTTATCTGCTTTACTATTAGGTATGTCCTGCTTCAAACGGCATTTTTTTTGGCACGCGGGTTCTCTTCTTGTGGTGCCCAGGCAGTGTTCCTGCGCTCCTACCTTCAAACCTTTCTCCTTAATCCCTTAGCTCACCTAAGATCACATTCTAATGATTTATTCTGTAATGAATATGGGTGGTAGCAATCACTGCGTTGCACGAATAGAGGATCCGTAACTCTTTGGATCACGGGTGCGTAATGGGCTTAACTCCTAGGGGGCATTTAAGTTTTGAACTCGCATCGGGGAATGAACTCCGTGAGGGTATTTTAAGGAGTTTTTCATATAACACTTTCTTATTTGTTGGTATTAAATTCAGATCCAAAACGGTCAATTTTGAAAATGTGAGGTAGTTTGATCGTGGCTTTGCGTTTCCTATTTTTTTGAATCATTTTAGTTGTATACTTTAGGTGACACTAAAAGAAGCTACTACATCAATACTTTGCCCTTTGTAAACTTTAATCTGTATTCTCATAAAGTTCCCCTTTATCGATACGGGCCACCAAAAAGAACAGAAATTCCTTTACAGCCAGCACTCTGTGGTAGGGTTTCGTTCTCAGCTGAGGGAGTGAGAAGAGGGTAGAGTCGAAACTGTGCCTTACAAAGTAAATTCCATGTAAATAATCAAAAGATGAGCTTTAATCTTTGCTCGTTTATTTTCTTATATTGTAATCAGTAGGACACTGATTGTTGTTTTAATGCTTTCAGTAAAAAGACTGGTAGAAAAATAGCTTTTATCCTTTTTTCATCCTTTAAGATAACTATTGATAGAAACTATCATGCTATGGTTTGTGTTACAGGTGGTGTAATACCAAGGGCTGTACTGCTGCCTCATCACAATTTTGTGGGGTTTCAGAGAGTAGTTCTGGTAAGGACACTCCATGATTTATCTATTTATTTGTCATAAAAGTGGCCTGATAGTTCGGTACAACTTAGTAACTGCCATTACATGCATTGACGGTATTTGTTAGGTGCCGGTTTCTGCAGTCCGCTGAATCTTTACATTAAGTGTTCTTTTCTTCAATGGTTCTTCTTCAACAGCTCCTCGTGGAGCCGTTATCGCCTCACCTGTAAATCCATATTCATTTCATTAGAGTTGTTATGATATAACACATCAATGCACAGCATGGAAATATTAATAAATAGACCTTTTGACAAAACACCTTGTAAAAACCGTATTGTCTGCTTGAGGCGTGGAGGCACTATTGCCTTAGTCTGCACCAGGTTTTTTAAAACGCGGGAAAAGTTACTGTGTGTTGATTATAGCATGGGGGGGGTTAAGTCTTGGCTTCCTAAAGGAAAAGGAGTATGTGGTTCAGAGGGCAAATATCCAGCCTGCGTGCTGTTATTAGTCTCCTCTTCTTAAATTGAATGTACAGTCAGGATTTTGCAGTTGTCTTTCAATGTATGTAACTGCAATCCCGCTGTCATTTCTCTGCATTTTGCATACTTTCCTTAAAGATATTTTCTTATCTCTTCTCCATGGCTAGAGTTACAAGGGAGATGAGATTACCTGACTTTTTCTAATAAAGGGAAAATTCGTTCTGAGCCCGTCTACCAACAGCCGTGCTTGAGTATTGTGCAAGAGCACAACTGAGTATTTGTTCTTTCAGCAGTAGATAACTGATACCACATTTGTATCTGTAGGTTTTTAATATATGTTGCAATTTAACAAATGTCTTGTGGGTGTAGCAGATGTCTTTTTTTTTTTTTTTTTTTTTTTTAAAAAATCACAATTCCCTTAAAGTTTTTAAGCAAGGTCTATCTGTGGTCTGTCTGTGGTCTATCTTAGGTCTATAGAGGGCACTCCTGTCGTCCTGGCTCTGCTCCAACAAATCACTTAAGCAATCGAAGCCAATGGGACTAGAATATGTTTAAATATTCTTCTGGATTGACCTGTATCCATGTATATTTTCACAAGATCTTCTTTTTCTTGTTTTGTTTTCTAAAACCAAGGTGGGGTACGCAAGAACTTCTTAATGGGATTCTCTGGCCAACCTAAGAAACCAGCAGTAGGGCTTTCTGTGTTGGAGATACTGGGGGGACTTGCTTGAGAAGGCTCTGGAGGCTGATAAATTAGGGAAGCAAAAGGATGCAATTGGAAGATGCAAGTGAATTGGTGTAAAGAATGAAACCATTTCCCCGGCTGCCGTTTCATTAGATGGGTCTATCTAAAATATTTGGCATGGTGCTATTCCCGCTGTATGGTTTCCAGCCCTATAGGTACATAATACCTGCAGCATGCACAAATAATGCATGCAGACTTACATTAGGGTTTCTAAATCTTGGAGTGGAAGAAAATAGGCTTTCAGATTTATATGGGAGAAATGGCATTGCAAAGTTTTGAGTAGCATTACTCAAGAATGTTAAACGGCAATTCTGCAAAGTAAAGACATCACAGCTTTATAAATATTGTAAGAAAAGAAAGATGAGGGGAGCTCTTGGAGTCTGAGAAATACCGAAAATTTTTCAAAATGTTGTGAGCAATTTGTGCAGTACTTATTAAAGTATAATGTCAGCTGGAGAAGTCATGGACTTCTTCCTCTTGATCATCTCTTTATTTGAAAATAATGCTTTTATTACTGGAAATGGGTGAGCAGAATTTTTCATGCATGGAACCCGTTATTCCAGTGTTTGAGGTACGGGAAAGCTAACCTCACGTGGTGGGTTTCTTTTTTTCTTTTTTCTTTTCTTTTTTTTTTTTTTGAAAAGCAGTCCTCTCTCATTTGCTTAAATCAGAACCAGCAGAAGCAGTTGCTGTGATTGCTTAATTCTGCAAAAGATAGAGTAGAGGTCATTTGTGGGACAACTTGGAGACCATTTCAGTGCAGCTGCCTCTGTAATAGCAGCCTGCAGTTAGAAGATGTGCTGTGTTTCCATCTCTGCTGATGTTTTAACTTGACTAAGCAAAAATGTTTTCTCTACACGAAGCTATGATCGTGTTTCCAGCAGCACCAGTAGAGGAGACTGGTTAATTCAAAATAGCACCTTCTAATGGGAGGGGGGGAAGAGGGGATCCTTGTAGAACAGATGATGTATCTTCAGGTTGTGAATAGTTTGCTTCAGAGGGGAGCAATTCAAAAATTAGTGAGAACAGATGTCTGATGTTGGCCTGAGCAGGCAGAAAGAGGAGGAGATGTCCTGGGTTTGAACTTCTAGACTTAATTGGCTCCTTTGTGACTTCCAGCCCGTTTGATAAGATTTTCTTCGGTAGCCGCTCCTGCTGCTACTGTACAAAGCCAACAGTTTTTTAAATTTTAAGGTTTTTATGTGTGTGTATAGGAACCCAAGCAAGCGTTTGCATACAGCTTTGAAGGATGCTTCCCTCGCGAAACAGAAACTTACATAGAGCCAGCTGCTTTCATATAGCTTTTTTACATCTAACGTCCTATACAGAGAAGCAAAAATAATGTTCTTCTAAACCATCTTTTAATATTTTTTTAAACTCATTACGTATCCCTCTATAGGTGCGTTCAGGTTGCTTTTACTGGTCAGACCCTCTGTACAGTGCCACATTAGCAAGAACATTTGGTACGCTCCTTCACTCTTCTAAGATCAGCACTGCAATTGCTTCTGCAGATACAGGTGACTTTCCACTGTGTCAGAGCCATCTGGGGCTGTGTTATGGCAGGCGTGTTCATCGGATCTCTGGGAATTTTTCCTTCGCAGTAGTATAAATGTGCCTCTAGACTTAAACACTGATGAAGTATCAGAACTTGGCATTCGGTCAAAGTTGTCCTTAGTCTAGGATAATTTGAGTTAGGTAAAATATTCCATTTTCAACAGACAAGGAAAGAAGCTTGTTTTTATTTTTTCAGGCTGTTTTGTAAAAGAAAAGACTGCTCTTGATGATTCAGCTATTGGAACAGCTCCCAGTAAAAAGAAAAAAAAAAAGGATATATTACAGAATATGGAAAATGTGGTCAAGGATGATGACTGTATTGCATGTCTTCTCTATGTATTATAGCCGTATCACCTCAGCATATATGCTGTTTCTTAATACTCTGCCAAAAGACCCCTGAAACAGCTTCATTTAGAGATGCTGAAGGCAGGAAGGGGGACCAGCTTCATGTCTAGACAACCTTTGGAGGCATGAGTGAGTTTTTCATTGAATGTGTATACTTGAAGGGAAAAATCAATGCTATTTCGTATGGAAATTCAGGTATAGCTAAGATAGATGGAGACATTCTCTGCCAAAATACATAGCTCTAAGGCCCAGACAGTACAGGTTTTGCTCATGACAACTTGCAGAGTCAAACTTTGAGATGTGGTGCAGAGGAGGATGTAGAGATGCGGAGATTGAATGTCTGCATTGAAGGTGGTTATTGTAGCAGAGACTGAAAATTATATGAATTAGGAAAGAGATACTTGCAGGCTTGGAAAACAGCCTGGTCCTCGTTGCAGAGTTGCTGGGGGTGAGGTGATTCTGTTGGAGCTACCTGTGTCCAGGCAAGGGTCTCGTGTCTGCAGCTCAACTTCTTGTGTAGTTGAGTGTCTGGTCCCACCCTGGAGGCTGGGGCATGGGCCATGCAAGTCGCTTCAGTGCCTCTCTCATTCTTTGGTCATTGCCTCGCTGCCTCCTAGACCGTGTGTGGTGGAGGCAATGACATCCATGAGAGACCAACGATGACAGAATGGTGGCCCAGGAATGCGCAGTCTTTTATTTTGGTAAAAGTAAAGCAGTACTCTGCCCTCATGACCTATGCCAACATCCTTTATACCCTGCCTCCGGACAGATGTTTCCAGAGCTGTCTTGGGCACTCATGCCTGCTTGCCCAGCCGCCTTGGGTAGCGCAGCATCTCCGAGATGTTGCTTGGGTTCCTGTTGCTTTATTTCTCTATTGCTTCTTAATCACATCTGTATTGCAGATTGGCATATAGTGCAGTGAAAGAAGAAATGAGAATTTTACATTGGTCTCACATCTTTGTTATTTTAGATTGTAAATAGAAAACAGGACAAATAGGTTGATCCTGCTGTGTCGCAGCCCAAGACAAACGAATCGCTGCGTGCTCTCTGCGGCTGCACTCGGTCGTGTTCATGAGTGGCCGTGCCCAGTCTCCTTAGGAGGGCTAAAATCATGGATATTAAACTCTTACTGTAATACTTGATTTAAATTTAACGGATAAGAAGAGCTTTGGCTCTTTTGAATACCAGAAATAATGTTTGCCAAACAGTGTGTGTTTCTTAAAATTATTTCATAGGGTTTGAGAGATGCATCAGCTCGGTCTTAGGAGAGGGCAAGTACTTCACGTCCTGTTCTTGCTTAGAAGTCACTTCCAATAAGGTTTCTAAGTGATTTAGGTGCTTCTGGAAAATTTAGCTGCCTAACTTCAGGGCCCACCTGAAGTTAAATCTTGAGGTGCTAAAGTAGGTGCGGTTGGGTTCTGATCCATTTCAATGGTTCTAAGATAAATTTGTAAGCGTTAAATTCATTTAAATGAATACATCTCTCTTTTGTGAGGAATGCTCCATTTTATCAGTTTCTTCCTGCTAATTAGTCTTTAATTTAAAAAAAAAAAAAAGCCTAGGTGAGGTTGGTTTCATACTGCCCTTTTGCACTTGATCTTGTTTGCCTTGGTAGCTGATTTCTGTCCTTGAAGCTCAGACACCGCCATTCGATTACTCCTGAACAAAAATGTAGCACATTTTTAAGACAGCTTTTAAAGACTCAGAGCTGCGTTTTGCACTTGTTAATATTGTTGTTGCATTTGGTTTTATTTGGGAATAAAAGAAAGTGGGTGGTGTAGGTGGTATCAGCAGAGCAGTTAGGAGGAAAGGATGGTCGAGGAGTGTGGGAGCAGGCACAGCTAACGTAGATCCACGCGGTGTTCTTTTTTATGTTTGTTTGACCAGCTCCAAAAGCACGG